CAAGGTGGGGTAAAATGAGGACCCAGATTGCTGGGGGCAATAGGCTGACTCTGTAAACTGCTTAGAGAGGGCTGTAAAGCACTGTAAACCGATATATAAGTCTAAGTGCTATTGTTGTTGCTATTTATTATTTAATTCTAGAATTTTTAACTGCATATTCACTGAGTGAATATTTTACTCCTTCTGGTCTCTGGTTCTATGACTGTAATAAACTGAATTGAATAATGGAGTTCTTACTGCTTTCTGAGCTTGTTTGATTGAAAACATCTTGGTACCCAACTAGATAATATCATCAGTGTGAGTGTGGGATTTGTTACATGTTTATATCCAGTATTTTGCCCTGCCATTTTGATGAAATTATGGTCTCCTCCTTGATGGTTCATTGATTGTCTTGTTTTCAGTCTGTTTCTCTGGTATTGATCCCCGCTGTTGGCTGCTGAAGGAGAGATGTTCTAATCCTTCCTAGTTCTCTCTTTTGAAAGATGTGTAAACGTGGTTTTTTTTCTGTGCGGCCGCTGATAGCTGATTTGTCTGAATGCCAAACCTCCAGGAGCTCTCCAGTACAGCTAGTCTCTCAACTTACAATCACAATTTCTGTTGCTAAGCAAGGCAGTTAAGTTAGTTTTATCCCATTTTATTAACTATTTATTCTGCCAAAATTGTTAAGTGAATCAATGCAGTTGTTAAGTTAGTAACGTAGTTGTTAAGTGGATCTGGCTTCCTCACTGATTTTGCTTGTCAGAAGGTGATCAAATGACCCCTAGACACTTCAACTCTCATAAATACATGCCAGTAGCCAAGCGTCCAAATTTTGACCATGGGATATTGCAACAGTTAGAAGGGTAAAACAATCATAAGTTCCTTTTTCAGTGCGGTTGTAACGGTGACTAAGCGAGTTGTTGTAGGTTCTGGCTAGGTCTAAGATGACGCGGCATCTCAGTGGCTAAGATGCTGAGCTTGTTGATGAGAAAGGTCAGCGGTTTGACGGTTCAAATCCTAGTTCTGTGTAACAGAGTGAGCTCCCGTTACTTGTCCCAGCTTCTTCCCACCTAGCAGTTCGAAAGCATGTAAAAATGCAAGTAGAAAAATCCAAGCCACCTTTGGTGGGAAAAGTAACAGCGTTCTGTGCGCCTTTGCATTTAGTCATATCAGTCACATGACCAAGGAGACGTCGTCGGACAGCGCTGGCTCTTCGGCTTTGAAACGGAGATGAGCACCACTCCATAGAGTCAAGAACAACTAGCACATATGTGCATGAGGAACTTTTATCTTTTAGGTCTAAGATGCCAATAGTTTCCCAATGGGTCTGTCCATATGTTGTGAGATGAAGGAGTTGTCATATCTTCTGATGGCTAGTTGGTGTTAATGGAAGTGCTTTGTACTGGTTGCTTTTTTTATTGGTCTCTTAAAGTGTTGAGCAGCCCCAAAGCTTTAACTGCTTTGTGATTCATCTCATTCCATTAGGACTGCAATCCAGGAAGGACACAGAAAATGATCCCTACTTACTGAGTTCTCTGGTTGTCCACATTTGCCTTTTCCTGTTTACTCCCTGAAAATGGAGAAGAAACAGAAACGGGAGAGAGTTTTAAGAGCTAAAATGCAATTATAAGAGGGGGAAAAAAGGAGCAATAACCACTAAAGAAGTAATAGGGGAGATGAAAAAGGGAAATCAATTCAATTCAAGTATATTGGCANAGAAAAATTACTGAAATGTCTGTTGAAAATAGCGATAGACTTTAAAACATTTTTAAAAAAAACCTTTCCCGTAGTGGGTCAAGAGCTTTTTGTCAAAATAAGTTTTATTTATTCATGTTAACAAGTTTTACACAAAGAAAACAAAAAGAAAAAGAAATATGCATCCTTTATCTCATGGGCTACTATTTTCTGGTAAACATTCTGTCTTATTGATTTCCTATAAGTTTCATCTATTTTAATTCTAAAAAGAACTGGGGAAGCGGAAAGATTCTTGGGGGGGGGGGCATAGAGAAATTTACAGCAGGACAACTGGTTTTTCATTGTGGTTCCTTTGCCCTCTCCCTTTTCATTCAAATACTAAAGATTCAAGCCCTAATTATTATTATTTATTAAATTTTTACACCGGCCAAGGTTCCTAAGGCTTATATTTTACTATCAAGCTAGATAACCGAAAATTAGATACATACAAGTCAGGTAGTTCTTGGTCAGTGATTCTCAACCTCAGCAATCTTCAGATATGTGGATTTCAACTCCCAGAATTCCCCAGCCACCATGCTAGATAGAACTTTGCTCTTTCATAAGAAATACGTGAGATATATTAACCACAATATTCCTTGATGATATGGCAATTTATTTCTACAGTAAATGATCCAATAATTTAAGCTTATTAAAAAGATTTTTTTTTGTGGAAGTCCACACAATTTTATGACATTAGACAACATTTTGAGCATTATGAAACATACATGGCTTTCCTTGATGTACTAGATTAGATACCACAGCATACATAAACTTAATTGTTCAAGAAATAATTGAGTGCCTTGTATATGTAATGCCACCTTTTATTATAGAATGGGATGGTATGGATGAAGGCATGATCAGAATATAGAATTATTTTCTTGTAACCAAGATTGGTTGGATATTCTCCAACATCCTTTGTTCTTTTAGAATATTTTCAAGACGCCTCTTTTTTTTAATTTCACATTAGCTGAAGATCTGTTTTGAGATAGTAGATATTCCAACATGGGCAAGTAGTTATTTCATCTGAAAATTAGATTTATTAACAATGCTTATGCATGTAACTTGTTTTGAGTTATATGATATCTTCACAGTTTTGTTGTAGATATACAGCTAGTCCACAACTTACAAATATTTGTTCGGAGAACACTGTGTTATTTTCACAGTTTCCCCCTAGCTCAACAAAATGGCTATTATTTGTTGCAACAATATTTATTAGGGTCATTCATGTTCTTGGTTTTTTAAGTAGTTACTATTCTTTACTGAACAGTATGTCTACAAAGGCAAACCTTTTGACAAGTTCAGTTCTTCTAGTTGATGATCAAAGTCTTTGTGGCTCAATATCATTTTCACTCCTCTGCTAAACTTCAACCATGAGGAATAAGACAGTAATAATGAAATCTAGAGAAAAATAAATAAAGGCCCAGTTATGTCACATTCAGGTTGGTTATGCCACCCTTCCGACTTCTGGACCAAAGCTAGCATCTCAACTAGCACTCAGGATTTATCAACTGCTTGGAAGCAATTAATGTATAGGCCATATTAATAATACAAATAGGGTGATCTGCTCAGCATTTTAGGCTCACAATGTAAGGCCAGACTTGTATTATTGGTTTTGGTGCTGTTGCAAAGTAGAACTTATTGTAAATAAATTATTTGACCTGACTTGCCTTTGAAAAAAAGTGTAAATTGGCAAGATGATCTATCAATAATGTTCAACGCTTGAGTTTTATGGCTTCCCCCTTTTCAGTGATAGATCTTTTTTTAAAAATAAAAAGTTGTACTAAAAGTTACTAAAAGAGTTGGGAGTTGTTTTTTTTCAACTGCCACTAAGTCTGCGCCAGAAATCTAAAATTTAAAGTAACCCACATTTTCTTTTAAAAGTGCTGAATTATCCATTTCATTTTCTTACTCAAACTGTATAACTGCTTCAGGAAATATAGTATCAAGGTGCTCTGAAAATCAATGGTCATTCAGAATTCTTGTGAACGGCTGCAGTTTCATCTGCCAATTTCAACAAAGCAGTCATTTTGAAACACCTTAAAATACCTTTACAAGTCCGGCTCCATTCAAAGAAAAAAAGGAAAAAGCAGAGTTAACCCAGATCATAACAAATAGCCCCACCCCACCCCAGCTGAGCTGCAGCTTGCAAATAAAGTGGCAGCCTGTGAACCAGTAGGCACTTTTTACAGAAGTTGGCAGAACAAAGGAGGATTGGTTGGTAAAGCCGAGTGCAAGACGTCAACCATTAAGTCTTCTCCCTGACAAACACGACGGACATCCACATCCAAAATAGGCAGAATATTTTATGTTGGTGGTGGGCTGTGTTTCTTTTTCTTGCTTTGGCAGGATTTGCAGACGCAACAAATGATGCAGGGCGAAGCTAAGAGCAGCAACGGAGATGTGACCAAAACGACGATTCCCAGGCCCACTAGGATGCCAACAACCTAAAAATTGAAAAGAAGAAATAAGAAGGAAAACCCTACATCTATAAAAACCCTGTATCCATATCTATACACCAGGGGTGTCAAACTCAAGGCCCATGGGCCAGATTTGGCCCGTAGGGTACTTAGGTCTGGCCCAGAGGTGGGTTCCTACCAGTTCGCACCTGTTTGGTAGAACCGGTTCATCAAATCTACCGGTTAGAAGAGGTTCCACCAGTGGACCCAGAAAGCAGGCCACACCTACAGAAGAGGTTCCAAAAAATTTTGAAACCCACCACTGGTCCTTGG